GGGGGGGGGGGGGGGGGGGGGGTGGACGCGGAAGGTGAATCGAGAGGGTGGAACCTTTCCACAAGGGTTACCAAGACACCTTCAGGGTGGAGCGTGGAAATCGGAACGTTCTTAGTAGCACCAATTTGGCACTGACTATATATATAGTCCCGGTCTTCTATCGACTCCTCAACCCCGTCGGCTCAGTTTTGAGTACTCAACCCTCACTCGGGGAGTTTATGCTGTTAATTCAAATCAAATATTTGCTACCGAGTATGAAAATGAAATTATGCCGCTTAATAATTTTCGGCGCTCTAGGGAAGAACCGTCGAAATACTTTGTGCTTTCGGTGGCTCTCTCTCTCTCTCTCTCTCTCTTCCTTTCTCACGGCTACCAGGACAGATCGTATATGCACGATATACACGGTGTACGCGAAGTGTGTATATGTATATATGTATATTGTAGATATATAAGGCATGCATTACCTGCCGGTGGTTCGTGCTCTGGCCGCCATTCGTGATCGGTCACGCATCGGGATATAACATTAAACTATAACAACTTCAACAGATACGTCAACGCGCATGCGCACACCCTATCACGTCTGGACAAGGCTGATTACGAATTAGTTCCTTTTCGTCAATGCTTGAGGGTGAGCACGAATCATCGGGTTCTTTCGAGAATCCATAACGTCTTTTTTTCTCTCTATCTTTCTTTCTCTCTTTCACTCACACATTCGCTCTGGTATAATAAGCCTCGGTCTCCGCATTTACGTCTCTAAATACAAATATTAATTACCATCCGCTAAAAACGTACTTATTGAAACAGCCCTTCGCCTTGGATCTCTAGCAGCTACGTAACTCGGCTAACTTTACTGCACTTACTTCCCACTATATGTAACTTACTAGTAAAACTTAGATGCTAGGATACTCTCGTTCAATTTCTTTTCTTTTTTATTCTCTCTCTCTCTCTCTCTTTTTTCTATCTGCGGCTACGTGCTTTTTTTTTAACCAATACACGTTCGTTTATATCCTGCCGCGATGGGGAGGTTTTTCTAAAAAAAAAAAAAAAAAAAGCTCCAGCGCCATTTTCGCTAATGCGATTTACCCATATCTTTTTTAACTCGCCAGACAGAAATTGTATTTTTATTTTTCTCGTATCCTTTTCTCTTTTATCTCTTTCTTTCCCCGCTATCGACATACATAACACGCATGCATTCTCTCACCTCACTCGCGTTAATTCTCCCTTTAACGAGTCACGTCTCTTCCTTTTTTTTCTTCTCTCCGTGTTACACGTCCTCTTGCGTTCTTTCACAGCTGCTCCAGACAAGATTGCTGTTCACAATGGCGTAAATGAATTTCTACCAAGTGACAACGACTCTTAACGGCACAATGATTTTGATGATCAAGTTGCACAATTCTTCTACACGTTATTGTTCAACGTCATTCTTCTACCTTTTTTCCTCGTTAACTCGTAGAAACATTCTATAAGTCTTTCTTACAGCTTCCGCTCGTCGTTATTGTTCACGCAATTTCTCAATACTTCTCTATACGACGAGAGTGACGAGTAAGCAGCATTTGAGGCTTGCTACAGAGAGGCGCCTTGAAAAATTGTTCAACTCCATTGAAACGTCCCCCCATCGTCAGTTGCAGTCTTGCTTAAAGAATATTCCACGTATTCCCATCTGCCTCCGTTATTTCTCCTTCGGTTATCCCCATTCTGGATCCTTTCCCGTTCCTTCCTCAATTCCCGGTCCAGATTCTGATTATCGCCCGCTCGCACGTACAGTATACACGCTGGGACTGAAATCGTAGATTTTTCAGAAATTCGTCCTTATTACGCGCGAGTGCATAAATAAAGAACATTTTTTTATTCGATGTTTATTTTTCCCCTTGCTCCAACGTCTCCCCACTTGGTCTATCTACTTTACTCTACTCTACAGTCAGCGCCATCTGCGACTCGACGCGTTTGAATGTCCCGGATCCACGCACAGATAGCGTGTCTGGCACAGGACGTTGTTTTTCACTGCGTAGAAGCATGAATTTTCGTTCTTTAATGTCGTCGGATAAAAATAAACAACGAAGATACGGTAAATCCTTAACCACTCCTTATGACACAAGGGGAAAGTTCTTGGATGAGAAGACGCTGATGCTCGTAATTCTGGTTCTTGACGAGGTCATCCTTGGAGAGTCTTTGAAGTCACTGAAGTTGGCTACGGATGCGAGTTGACTAACAAAGGTGCACAAAGTAGGTGTATAACGATGCTAGGAGCAATGACGTGAATCCATGACGACGATTCGAGGACGTGAGCGGGCAGGATCTCTGTATCAGTTTCTCGTAATCCTCCTCGACGCTTTCGCCACCTGGACGTCCGTGATGACACGATACGACGATGCTACGATGACGCTGATGAACTCGTCCGATAGTGATGGCCGAGTCACGGTGACGACTTTCACTATGACACGTGGTGTCGTCGTCATCCATCGCTCAGCAGCCGTGCGAACTCATTGGAGACTGCATCTACTTTCGATCTGGGACTTAATCTCGTTCACCTGTGTCTCTATCGTGTTCTTCAGTTCTGGAACAGAAGCGCCCGGGAGCGTCATTGCTAAAGTAACCTTTGTTCGGTCAATCTCGGTGGGGTTTGCCTGTTAATATTAGATATACTTCAGCCACTTCGCGAAGGGATTAGCAGGGCGATACTCGGCCCGTTTGATTTCTAGCCCGGCTCGTTAGACTCTCATCGATCAATGAACCTGCAGGGCATTCAGGATTGGGAAGATCTATACAAAGAGAGAGATGGAGATATCGGGCCTGAAGCCAGGGACCAGGAGCAGAGAGTTCAGAAGCGGATACCAGTGGGGACTAGAGGGTTTCCTGGCTCTGCACACTTTGTGCCGCGCATTCATTCATTAGCGGAAGCTGCTCGGCTCTTCCGTTTAGTCGGAATTACACGGACGAACGAGCATTTTGTTGGAGTGATCGATAACGTGGGTGGGTTTCGGTACTTGTGGTGGTGGTATTGATCGCTGGTGAGTCGGGAGAAAAAAATTTACGACACAGTAACGAACGCGGGAAACGACTGATTGGG